TCCAATATGTTTAAGTTATGGTATAACTATCCATAAAAATCAGGGATTAAGTTTAACAAATGCAGTTATAGATGTCGGTGATCATATATTTACGTCTGGGCAAACTTATGTAGCACTTTCACGATTAACTACATTAGAAGGCCTTCGTTTAATAAATTCGATCCTTCACAAATCAAAGCTAGCCCTTTAGCTATAGATGAATATAATCGTTTAAGAGCAAAATATAAATCTGAATTACTAGAAATTACATTAAACGAAAGACGTCGAATGAAAGTAATCGATTTACAATAGGCTGTAAATGAATCAGATATTTCTGATAATAATCATAATTTTTCAGAACGTAAATTTTACGATCGAGAAATTACGATAAATGGATTAGAAAACTATAACGGAAGAAGTAGTTTTGCTAATGCTACTATACAATCAGTTTTTAATTGTATTCTTACATCAAATTTTTTTAGCGATCTAACTAGCCACTCCAAGTGCCTTTTGAAACAATTATTATTTAAGTATACAAATAATCACAGCAATTTGAGCACTTCGACCCTGCTCGAAGATATTGGAAATGCTTTGAATACTGATGAAGAGAAGGATCCTCTATTACTGTTTGATTTGTTATGTGAGAAATATTATGAAATTAAACCACTATTCACTAATCATATGCAATATGTGGATCGGTGTAATAATTGTAGTTATATCAATACATACTCAGAGGAAACTATTCGATTATCGTTTCCTATTCCTTCAAGTACAATGAATATTAACAGCTTACTTAGAAACTCTTATTCCCATTGGCTAAAAGGAAAAGGTACTTGTCCGAAATGTAATCAAGAAACTGAATGTCAACGTAAAATTACTATATCTTTTACTGGACCATTCGTTGTTATTTCTTTAAACATATTTTCTGATGGTAAAAAAATCGATAAAAATTATACTAGAGGCATTCTTCAAGGTACGTCAATGGAAAAAATAAATATTGGTGATAAAATATACATGGTGAAAAGCGCTGTATTCTATTAAGGTAACTATATATCGCAAAGTCATTTCTACAGTATGATAAAAGAAAGTACATCTTCGAAGTGGGTTAAAGTTGATGATTTAAATTATGAGTATGAAAGATGGCCAGTCAATAGTAAACGGGCTTATGTTTTATTTTTATACAATAAAAATTCTAAAATTTCGAAAAAGGTATGAAGTGTCTCACAAAATAAAGAGTAAAATTAATTTGTAAATTAAAACAATTTCATTGATAGATATGTAAAATTACCCACAGAATTGAAGTTATATATTCGTTCTTCTTAAATATTTCAATGAAAGTTCACTGATTCATTGCCAATTGAAATTATGCAATAGAAAAATATATATATTCAAGTAATCTTATAATTTTGATGATTATTGAAACATAAGAAATAAATAGTCGGGTAAGGGATGGCTATACGGGGAGGAGGAGGCCATTGGAAAATAGTGTACTATTATGTACAAAATGTACTTTTCTTCGCAAAAAAAGTGTTTGATCGCTACCATCTGTAGCATTAACATGAGCTTCTTTTTCAAGCAAAGGTGTAACCATGCTTTGATTTATTACGTGATTTGATGGATTAAGTTTCATAGAATAATGTTGTTGCAACAATGTTCTAATGAATTCCACATCATATTACCTCAATTTCGCTTAACTCAACTCGAATCAACTTCCCTCGGTGGAAACATGGTCAAAGTAAAAGCTTATAGCTTGATATTTAAAAATTGTAAAGTTAATATTTACAACTCATATTGCGGTACTGCTTTTACACTTTGCAATTATCAAACTTGATGATTTAGAAACCATGACGATGCTATTCGATAAAAAAGTTAATACACCTTAGTAATAAACAGCATCATAATCCGGTCAGAATTGCAATCTTGAATCACAAAACAGAAGCATTAAATTTACTCATGGGAAGAGCAACTTTTATGAGGAAATTCAAATCCATGGTTACTCTTGACCATCGAACATAGAGAATCACTATCTTTCCACCGAAAGAAGTTGATTAGAATTAAGTTAAATAGAAAGTAGTGTTTTTACCGTAACAAAGCATTTGATTTTGAGCAAAGGTATAGGATGTAATATTGTATATATCCTAAAATCCATTAAGTACTATAGACTAAAAATAATACATCGACTTTGCTCAACGCAACTCAAACCAACTTCTTTCGGTTAGAACATAGACAAAATAAGAGTTCGTAACTTAATTACATTGATTACGCACATTTTGCAAGCGTTAAATTTAATGATTCAACGATTATGGAAATGCTATTGAATAGAGGGGCTAACATAGATCTCATAAATGATCAGCAGTTTATTGAAAAAATAATTGAAATCCGTTAAAAACAGACATCTGTGGATGTCTGTAAAAAATGGCGCCAAGTCCACATTCAAATGATCATCGAATGTTCAATTCAATATTTTTACATACAAAAAAAGATTTAAGATCATAAAATTTCGCCAAGTCCTGTTTCCATTTATGAGAAATATTTCGATATTTCCAATATCTGTAGTTAAGAAAAAAAAATATAACTTTTTTGCCTTAATCATTGTATACTTTTAAAACCGACATTTCACGATGTCGGCAAAACTTTGTGCTATGTACATACACATGTCAAATGGTGTTAGATATGAAATAATTTCCATGTGATTAATTATTTAATTCATTAATGTTTAGATGACAAAAACTTCTGAAATCACGTATAATGTCGAATCGCTTATAAAATTAACTACAACTTTTCTTTATTCTCAACTAATAATAAAGAATAAAAAATTCTTTAAGTAATCTCCAAATATCTACAAAAATATATCTCAAATAAGTAGATATAAATTAACGATGACTTTGAAACTGATTTATATTAATCTCAAAAAATATTTTTTGAAAAAAAATAATTGATACGACTTGGCACAATTTTAACGTTCCTTCTCGAAATATCAATCCACAAATATTTCCGTAAGAAAGATTTGCAAAAATTGTGCCTTAACTATAGATATTGGAAATATTGAAATATTTCACATAAATGGAAACAGGACTTGGCGAAATTTTATGATTTTAGATCTTTTTCTGTATGTAAAAATATTGAATTGAACATTCAATGATCATTTGAATGTGGACTTGGCGCTATTTTTTACAGATATCCACAGATGTCTGTTTTTTGCGGATTAGCAGTACAACGAAAAATTTATAAATATTCTGCAATTTAACTATAATATAGAATTATATTCTAGAATACTTTCTGAATGCTCAATAAAAATTTAGAATACTCATTCCAACAATGTTCTGATTCTGTACTGATTATATTGATGTCAGAATAATAATCAGTGAAATAAAAAATATTTCAGTAGGTTCAATGTCATATAAGAATAATTAAAAACGTTCAATAGAAATTCAGGAAACTCGTTTAAATAAGATGTTCTGATTTTATATTGATTATATTGATGTCAGAAAAATCAGTACAAAATCAGTGTAATAGAGAACGTATCAGTAGATTCAATAGAATGATAGAAAGATTTCCGAGCATTCTATGAAAATTTAGAATACTGATTTTTAAAATTTATTCGAATTTTATACTGAACATATTGATGGCAGAATGGACAGTACAAAATAATAATGATTTCAAGATGTTCAATATAGAATCAGCATAGAAATTAAAAAATTAATACATTCAACATAAAATCAGTATTGTTTTAGAGTACTCAATATGGATTCTATATGAATTCAGTATATTCAATATAAAGTTATTATAAAAATTTTGACTCGGATTTTTGTTTTTTAATGTAGGTAGGAAAAAAAAATATTTCATATATATATACGTACAGAGGAAAACATATATTGAAAGAAATTCGAAAATATATCGAAATTACTAAAACATACTAATAGTGAATGAACATAGAAATATTAAATAATTGAAGTTATCTCGGAAATATGTCAGTGATAGCTGTGAAATATTCTTTAACAATTAAAATTAATAGAAAAAAAAGGGGTTTTTTTTTTTTAAATATGAAAATATAGTTACCGTGACTATACTATACTGTTTACATTCAAAAAAGCTTATGGCATAGTGCATTAATATTCATTATACCGTTCACACGATATGCCATCGACGGTGTAGAAAAGGCTGTTGACATTAAAGGATTCAGGAAATTATCGAACTGTCTGAAAAATATACCGCATATAGTCTACCGCATACAGTATAAACTGCGTACAGAGTTGTGTTATACAGATACTTCCGCACTTTAATGTTAATTATATAGACAAATAGACTAGAACTATCATATCATTATCATGTGACTTGACGTCTGTTTTTTAGTATACTAAAAAAAAAGATCAATTACTGCAAAAAAAATTTCGTAACGATATTCGTTTTATCGTATGACTTAAACTAAAGTTTCGTTATCGTAAACAAATGTTTAGGTACCATAGAGAAAAAAAGTTTTCATGTAGAGAGCATACTAACAATGATGGTAGAGACAAAAAATGCCTTAACCTGATCAATACCACTTCAAAAATTTAATTAATTAATTTATTTGCAGCATTGTGAATTAAAAGGAATTTAATTTCATATTATGAAGAAGGCATGACTCTCGCAGATTTCTATTATCATAAGGATACTATTTAATAAGGATAATTTTGAACTTTATATTCTTAGATAAAAATACGTGTATGTAGTTCACACACATGCAGCTCGCACGTGTACTAACGTATGCAGTCGAATATCGAATTATAGCTTCTGCAGCATTACTTAAGTATCGTTCAACGCAGTTTAAGTCCCACAGCAAAACAAATTTGAGTCCCACGGCAAAACTATGGTTTTAGCTCTCTAAAAATACGTACTTTTCCGATAAAAATCCCTCTCTCCTACGAGAGGAATACCCGTCAGAATAAAACATTCTTTTTCTGCAGTTATTAAACTTTTTTTTCTGTGTACAGATTATATTATTTTGTAATTTAAGATTTAAAAAAAATCAATATACATACCTGTTCATACGTTGAATCTAACAATGTGTCCGAATTTACTGCCAAAATCATGTCACCAATTTGAATGCCAGCCTACAACAATTAAAAAATAACGCATTAAAATAATTAAATATATTATCAGATATTTGTGATGAATAATTCTTCTTAATTAAACTGTAATCACTGATTTTTAGATCGAAATTTTCAAGAAAATTGATTATTTTATTACAGTTTACTTTTTATTTTTTTTTGGTACGAACAACCAAGAGCAGATAATAGAAATTTTTTTCATTTTTTTGTCTGAATAATGATGTCATTGCACGGCGCCTTTAGTAAGACAGCAGTCGGTGTCTTGTTTGCTGATCTTTATCGAACAGTAGCTTCAACCTAACTCGTTTATCCAAACACAAACTTCCGTCATAAACCACCAAAAATGCGAAAGTTCATGGATTTTTGACGGTTTATTTGTTTATTAATAAGACGATTGACCTCGGAAAATTCACGCGTAGCCCTGAAAAACACTTGTAAAAGTGTCATACAAAATTTTACGAAGCGTGGGCTATTCAAAACGTCTCTCTTTTCACGATGAATTAATCTTAGACGTAAGCCAAAATTTAATTGATTATATTATGTTATGTCATTAATTGTTTGCAGTATATATGTGTATCCAAGTTTTTCGAGACCGTGAGAATTATCCTATTTGCGTTTCTCTACCTGACAAAGGAAGCCACTGTAGGTGTCATATCGTCTTTGATATCATTAATGTACGGCCCAGTATATTATTCATGCTGGATCGCTATAATCTATTCTGTTTTACTCTTCAATGGAGCGTACGGTCACGACGAAACTTACCTGGTTCGACCCTAAAATAGTTTAAATACTAAACGAGCAAGAATAAATTAACAAACGTTCGATCTATATAATAATAACAAAATTAATATAATTAAATAACAACTAGTATTGAACGTCACATCTCTTACGCATTTTAAGATTAACTAGAACTCAAAAACCCCTGTACCCTATAAATAATTAGTTAAATGCTGAGAGAAAATTTATTCTATGATTATGCTCCCAACTATAACAATATCTATTATTGTATCGTATTCTTCTTTTCTATTTAATAGGTTATGAGCTAGTAGATTCCTGCACCTTTGTTAGCATGATTTGTAGAATTATGTTTCATAATAAGACATTGCTCGAAGATGACTCAAATAGTAATTTCCTAAATTAAATGAAGAGATAAAGATCGCTATGTGATATGTAGGAAAAATTCCGTTTTTTTATTATTTATAAAAAATTTAATCGTTTTAAACAAAAGGAATAGGTTTCTATCCATTTCATGAGGCTTATAACTTTATTTCAGTAGAAGAAAAAATTACGTATTGTACGAACTGAGATATATAACATAGATCCTGTATTGTTTATGACAAATTTAATTGTTTTAAGCAATTTACATAAACAAAACGTAGCCTACAACCTTCTTAGTAACCTTCTCTACGTGCCTGCAATGTTTGGTTGCATTCTGATTAGTTGTTCAAGAGACGAGCGTGGACAGACATATAGACACCAGAAATTTACATTTTAGTTATAAATATACATCATTCTTCATATTTAAAAATTTTATCAACTTATGTTTCACATAATTTAGTTTTAAAAATCATCCATAAGTAAATAATATTATATATGTTTTCGCTGAATATTAACGAATAAACGATATAAATCATTAATTCGCTTAATCCACACTCGGCATCATTAATGCCTGGTCGATCAAAAATTTTGATACCATTCGAGCAATTATCGATGAAGGATTTTTTTTTTTCAAATAGAAATTCCACATTTAAATTACTTTAGAAAGTTTATGATTAAAAACCCTTTTAGATAGTCCCTATAACAATAGACTATCCGCACTAAAAAATTTTTGAACCTTAAGGCTGGGCTGAAGTCACGAAGGCGACTGATTCCCCCTATCTAAATACATTTAATCGTAGGTTTCTAACTTCTCCGCGAATTTATTATCCAATTAATTTTTTTAATAAAGAAATTAAAAAGAAAATTGAATAATTAGAAATTGATTTTCCGCGCTTCAATTTCAAGATGGCGGCTACAAGGTAATGAAGAGAAATCGCGAATTACTTATTTTCTATCTAATTCCAGCTCCTGAACGTTGTCTAGCACACTTCTTGCAACATTTTTGAGCATAAAAAAATTTCTTTCAGGTCATAAAATTGGATAATTACGAAGAAGTTTGGGATGATTATTATCGGAAACTAGTTCAAAGAAGTTGTTCTGACTTCGAGTCGGCCGGACGAGCAAACAAAAAACTAGTGGACTGTAATAATTAAGAGCAGAATAACGAAACAGGTTGGATACTAGAAGGTTGCTTAAAACAAAATAGTTTATTAACACCAAAACTGTATGGTTTTTTCACTTTTATTAACAATTAACAATTACTAGTACAAGAGAGAGAACTAATCGCTAAGGTTCATTGAGTTGTCCGTAATTCAACTATTTTTTCACTTGAAGATTGTTTGCTAGTTAATGTTTTACCAAAAAAAACCGTCTCAAAACAGTGAATAGCAACATTCACGGTATACACCAAAGTTGTTCGGGTGTGCGATGTATATGTGAATGTCCGTGAGGCTCTATGGCGTTGACGCCAGTTCAGCTTCGCGCCCAAAGACACTACAACTGACTATACTGGACCACTGGTACTGATGAGAGTAATTTTGATGGTTCAATAATGTTCACGAGAGTTGACTGTGTATGATTGAGATTCTTTGTTCTCAAAAAAAAGGTGAGCTGACTGCAAAACTGCGAATTGACTGAGTAATTTTCTACAAAGTTGACCGCGTAATTTGCTTGGAGCTAAGTGACGCCAACAAGCACGCGGTCGAATTACGGACAACTCAATGAACCTTAGCGATTAGTTCTCTCTCTTGTACTAGTAATTGTTAATTGTTAATAAAAGTGAAAAAACCATACAGTTTTGGTGTTAATAAACTATTTTGTTTTAAGCAACCTTCTAGCATCCAACCTGTCTAGAGTAGCGGTAGATACTCGGCGCCAAGTGCACTTTCACCTTTTCCCTCTCTCTCTCTTTCTCACTAGCGCGCTCTTTCCCCCATGAGCGCCGAGGCTACCGACTACTCTATACACGAAAAATTTTGTGTGACGTCATCAACGCATCTTTATATGCAAATATCTTTATAATTGCTACATATTATGATTTCATATTTAATAGGTAGTTATCTTATATCATGAGCTTCCAATTAAACGTTAAACGAGAATTTTTTATTAATTATTAACGGAGTTATAAATAAGCCACGCCCCTAACAGCGATATTTCTGCTATTCACGATTTTTTCGCTCGCTGTTTCACTCTATTTAATCGAGCGCTCTATCATGTGTTCTCTCTTACTGAATGTGTCTTTTGTCACTTTTTTTCACATTGGGCTCCCTACAGTGCCCTCTTTCTTGCGTTACGTATTGTTATCACTCTCTTTCACATTAACCTCGTAATATTTCCTTCTCTCTTGCCTAACCAAGAGACATCTATGTTCTGAATAATGAAAAATGTTTCCCGCGTGTTGTATATCGATTTAAATAAACTTTTTTAGGAATTATTGGTAAAGAAAAGTTTTAAATGATCAATGAAAAATAAGTGTTTGTCGAATAATAACAACAAAAGAATATGATTAAAAAAAGTAAAAAGTGTTTCCCGCGTGTTGCATATCGATTTTAATAGATTTCATTTGGAATCATGGATAGAATGATGTTCTAGATGATTAAAAGAAAAAACAATTATAAGAAATAGAAAAAAGTTCAACAAAATAATGTCTTATAGAAATAGTGAAAAATATGATATTTCAATAAGACATTATTTAAAGCCAACCACAAAATTTATAACAATTTTAGGTAGTTCCTATGCTACATAGGTGTATTTTCTGCTCTTTTATTACTTTGCCAAGCCAGTTTTCTATTTTTCTGAAATAGAAAAAAGTTCAACAAAATAATGTCTTATGAAAATAGTGAAAAATATGAAATTTCAATGAGACATTATTTTGTTGAACTTTTTTCTATTTCAGAAAAATAAAAAACTGGCTTGGCAAAGTAATGAAAGAGCAGAAAATACACCTATGTAGCATAGGAACTACCGAAAATTGTTATAAATTTTGTGGTTGGCTTCAAATAATGTCTTATTGCAATATCATATTTTTCACTATTTCTATAAGACATTATTTTGTTGAACTTTTTTCTATTTCAGAAAAATAAAAAACTGGCTTGGCAAAGTAATAAAAGAGCAGAAAATACACTTATGTAGCATAGGAACTACCTAAAATTGTTATAAATTTTGTGGTTGGCGTCAAATAATGTCTTATTGCAATATCATATTTTCCACTATTTTCATGAGACATTATTTTGTTGAACTTTTTTCTATTTCAGAAAAATAAAAAACTGGCTTGGCAAAGTAATAAAAGAGCAGAAAATACACCTATGTAGCATAGGAACTACCGAAAATTGTTATAAATTTTGTGGTTGGCTTCAAATAATGTCTTATTGCAATATCATATTTTTCACTATTTCTATAAGACATTATTTTGTTGAACTTTTTTCTATTTCAGAAAAATAAAAAACTGGCTTGGCAGTTAAAGACTTTGAAGTCTGCCTAATTCAGTTTCAAATGTTCTTATGTATGAACTATAATATATGGAACTGTTGAAAGAATTTAAAAAATTGGGCCAAGTTCCATAGTTTTCTGGTTTTGAAGATTTTTTTTTTTGTACTTCAAAATTAACTGAAATTTTATAAGTCAATAGTACATTGCTAGTTCGAAAAAATTATGAAAAAAGACGCAGCTAACTTGGCGTTTTACTTGATTTCACATGTTTTTTTGATCTTACCTTTTTTCCATTTATACTAATTTTACTTGAATGTGGACTTGGCGCCAGTTTTTACAGGCATTCCTAGATGCCTGTTTTGTGCGGATTTCGTTATTCTGCTCTTAATTATTACAGTCCACTAGTTTTTTGTTTGCTCGTCCGGCCGACTCGAAGTCAGAACATTTGGTCCTTCGAGCCGGATGAGAATGGCTTG